AAACTATGTATGTATCTGTACTATTTAAAAAATATAAATGTAATAATTGTTAGTGAATCATGATGTAGGCTATAACTTTATAGTAAGAGTCATTGGAGGGAGAGGCAAGTCATAATAGCTGTTGCACAAGTAGTTCTAACAATGTACATATGTAGGGCCAAGGCCATAAAAAAGGGAGAATGCCCCAAATCTATCTACCGATCCATCGGGCTGCTGATTGGTACTAGTGTACTATTGCTCTCTCTTTTCCTCTAACAATACATAATATAGCAAGCTTTAAAATAACTTTTCTCATAAACTATTTATCCAATCTACGATCCTATTACACCATTGTATTTGTTATAATTAAATCTTTATAACAAGATATTGTATGGTTATATTATGACGAAAGAAAAATATATGTTTCAATCCATTAACACTCTTTGTTTTAAACGTGATAGTGATATGTTTCAATATGTGTCTTCACTATGTTTAACAAAATTCCAAAACTAACTGCCATTACTCTCTCTCCATTCTCTCCACCTCATCCATGCATGCATGCATTTTAGCGCGCTTCAAAACGATTTTTCTCCTAAAATAGTTATCCAATCAATGACCCGATCACACCGTTGTATTCGTTTTAATTAAATCTTTACAACAAGATATCACATGGTTATATTTTGATAAAATAAAATCATATATATCAATCCGTTAATATTAGTTGTTTCATATGTGATAGCGACATGTTTTAACGTGTCATCATGTTTCATAAAATTTTTAAATGTTACAGTTGTTGGTTTTTTTTGTTTCACCATATATAACTTTGATGCTTCACTCGTTGGTCAACTGAAACATTTGACTGTCCCATCTTTTTAGTGGCATCGGGTGCCCGATGAGAAGATTCTTCCCATAAAAAGGCAAGCAAAGATAGAGCATCGAAAGGTAGACAAAAATCTTGACTAAACTCGAAACCCTAACTAAACTCACAACTCAATGATCTCAAAAGCGATACCGGGAAGCCTCACGCTCCCTCTCTAGTTATACATGAGGTAGGCAGCCTAAAGCCATGAATCAAACTCATACTAGAAGTCCTAATCCACCTAGGAAACCTTCTCGTACAAGAAACAAACTTTACAAACTCCAATCATAACAAATTTGGACTCCTTTCAAATTCGACTCCACATCCCATACGCACATAATACCTCCATCGTATGCCATATGGAATCTGCACCAACCATGTGCATTGAACTCTAGCCTAAGTATCCCGCATGATATCTGACTGTCACGGACATCTCCTTATCCCCAAGTTGACTCCCGATCCATCACCGGCAATACTCTCCCGAGGCATCAAGTCACCTACACATGAATCAAACAAAGAAACTATATTCCGAGACTAAGCTATCTCCAACTTGACTCATTAGTAGCAAACAACAGTATTACATACGCATAGTATCCATCTAGAAGCCATAAATATAAAACAATCACAGATATCCAAACAAACAACCGAAAATTGAAACCGACACAGTGTCGGCCGGTCAGACCGCGGGCTGAGCCGGTCTGACTGCTTGATCACCGTCGGTCTGACCAGCAACCACAGCCCAGTCTGACCGGACCAAAACTCAGCAGCAGCTCTTGTTCACTTGCAAATCCAATTATCTCCAAAAACCACTTCGCCAATAATCTCCAAATATCAAAACCAATAATGTCAGATGCCAATTGTTCATCACAGAATAATAATCAAAAACATCTTTGATTTTACATGGGAGGCATCGGAAGCCACGGATCCCTCTGCTGGGTGATGCTATGCTTAACGAGCATCCCGCATTGTGTATAGCAGGTAATCTCAGAGGCAGCATAGCAGATCTGATTGCCATTGTGTATTTCCCACTGCCCGCTTGCATCTCTACTCCCTAGAGTTGATGCAGCTGCCATCTCCAGCTTAGTTGGATTGCTGAGGTTAAGTAGGTTTTTTTTTGGCCACAGCTAAGCTTAAGGCTTCATTAAATATTTCACTATAAATATAATTAGGAGAACTTGTTTGTTGGCAGCAAAGAGATTACATGCAGTCTGGATAAGTTTGTTTGGAGTTCTAGTCACAGGATCTTAATTTAGCCTATACATAATCACCTTTCTAATTTGGAAAATTTAATTTACTGATCTGCTTGAGAAGCAATCGGTGTCAACTTCTTTGATTCTCTTTTCTTATTTTCTTCTTCTGGTTGCGCAAGCTCTCTCTTCTTATAGTCGCCGGCACCTTGCTAGGTCACCACGGTCTCTGGGTCTCCACTAGCACTGCCCTAAGGCAGCCTCACGAACCACTTCCAGTGTTTAGCTGATCAGCAGCGTTTAGGGTTTTAGGTTTTAGCGCAAAGAGATTGAGCATCCTCTGTCCTTTGCTTTATTTCTTTATATATGGTACTGGTGGGGCACGGGAGCCATATCTCCAATTAGGATTCAAAATTGATTTTACCGATCACAAAACCAATCTATCTCTTATTTGTTTTCTTGTTAGAATCAAACTGTGGGATCACCCTTTTCTAACTTACTGGACTTAGCCGATAAATCAACCAACAATGACATAAACATAGACCATGGTGGAAATATGTTTTAGATAGTTTTCTATGTGGTGCTACTATATCAAGCAAGTAAATTGGAGGCCATCTCAAAAAAGGAATATATATCAGAAAATTAAAACAGAGAAATAAAAGGCAAATAAATATTACAAACCCCACTTCACATTAAATATTTCATTCCATACCAAATCGCCTGCTTTCATAGTAATCTCCATGTTGTGTCCATTTGCATTGATAGTTTTTAAAATGAACCAAATGTTCAGCAATTCTGGCTCATTTTCTTTCAACAAGCTCTACGGTCCCATATTTTGTACTGCTATTGACAACACTAGAAGTCTCGAACAGTCTATATAAACGAGCATAAGAGAAAGAGAGAGAAACCAACGCAAGGATGAGAACGGGAGCAGCTCAGACATAGCAGAAGGCAAGGAATAACCTGCCAAGCATACGACAAAAATTTGCTCCTAAAAAAACTTACATGCATATTAGGTCTAAGAGGCATCAGGAGCTCCATTACACCCTACCTGTTCCATGTACCGTGAAATAAAAACCAAGGGAGTGCCAGGAGAAGCACAAATACAACCTGGCCCTTCTAGTTCGATGAGAGCTAAGCTGCCACGTTTTTCTCCTTCAGCCAACTAAATGGACTTCCTTGATCAACAACATCGCAAATTCAAGCATATCAGGTCGCATATGAGTTATGTCCCAACTTCCAATTGCGAAATGGTATAGTAGGTGAGATGATACCTCTAGCAAAGGATCGAGGAATGGCAGCAGATTACTTTAGGCTTCAATATCTTAATCTCTGTCCCCTGTAACTGGATAAGTTTTTTCAAATTTGCTTTTAGCGATCAATCTCTTCCTAAATTTTACTCGTGTACTAATGGTCAAGAGGAGGCAAAGGCTTAGAGCATTGTAACAAATACGTAGGTAAGCAAAATATCAGAGCACCTTGTAGTCAAGCATCGGCCATACGTCCTTCCTCTTTTCAACTTATTTATTGAAATAATGTAATGGATTAATTGCTCCACGCTTCGCAAAATACATTTTTGAAAAAAAAAAACCTTTGTCAATTGCATTGCTTAGACAACTTATTTTAAGTTATTAATTTATTAAAATTTGATAACATATTTAATCCATCCCTATAATCAAGTAAATAACCAGTGAAAATAATCTTGACAACAATCTAATTCAAGCAGGGCTGGTCATGTTTACACGCTTACCAAGCTCTTAAATAATGCATTTGATGCAAATATTTTCTATATATAATTTTCCTGATATACTTTTTAAAGTAACTTTTCATACCAAACAAACATGTGATGTCGCTCATTCACCTTTATTTGTTAATTTGATGACTTAATGCACTAACCATCTGGCTCATGCCATTACATGTGCATAGATGCATTGTGTTTGCATATAGAATATATTTAAAAAGTGCCTAGATGTTGACACAAAACAACAACAAAATACAAGGCACTGTGCCTCAGCTGTTTGACTAATGCACTATTCTCGCTAGAGTTTTGGTTGCACACATTTTCTGTAGGTTGATTTCCTTCGTGATTTCCCCATATCTCTTATGCAAATAACATAAACAAGCATAGGAGCAAGTGAATAAGTAGATCTACTGTCACCCCATTCGCATGTTGTAGTGGCAAGCACAAGGAAGTTAGAAAGCAGGCAACTTTTATCATACACACAAGCATGCAACTTCAGTAATAGCCATCGCTAGCCGTGGTGGGATGGCACACTTAGATGATCTGTGGCGAGAAAGTGGAAAATCCTATGGTGGATGCGGTGAGCCTTAGTGAAGGTGGAGGAAGTAGGGTGAAGTCGGCGAGCCACAAATCTAGTGGGGAAAGGAGGCGAGTAAGACGAAAAACTACATTGGTGCTAGCCATTTCGGCTTCCAACTGGCGAACACAAGACAATACTCGACCACTACTAGACTTAAAGATTTCAACTACTTGGATCCAACTTTTTAATATGTGAATATGTTTACATAGGCAGATGTCTTTAGAAACCGCATGTGAGAACGGTTTACACATGTGCTTGCCTTTGAAAATATGTGTAGGTAAAGGTGAGGACCTACTTGTCCCGTGGATAGTTCAATATAATTACATAGACGTACAACCTAACTAACTGCATGTAAAAATGTTTTTCACAAGCGGCTGTCTGAAGATGCCATCAGTGATAACAATTGTTATTCTTTTTTTGAAAATTAATAGAAAACCTATAGGAACTTGATTGAAAGGCTCCAATTCTCATGCCGGTCAAAAGCGCCTAATAAAGTTATGTTCCATTATGGGAAATACTAATAGTAAAATTATTACTAATGTGTTCTAATTCCTGTGCTTCTCTATTTTTTTTCTTGAACATAATATAGACTCATCTACTACCAATTTATTATGGGGTACCCCAACACTTGTTCATATCCTTTCACTCTTGATCTACGTAGAACCATACTTATGACTTTCATCACAACAACCAATATTAGTGTTCTTTTTTTTTAAAACACATCAACTTTGTTAAGCAAGAGCAGAATTAGGGGATAAACCCCATTACATAACCAAGGATAAAAGCTGAAAGCAAAAGAGCCACCCCTGAGAAGGGAGGGTTAACTGAACTACGAAATCAATCTTCCTGAAATAACCTAATAGCAGAAAAAGGAGCAAGTCGATAGGGATCTGCGGCGAAGCCGCGACGACTGCTACCCTGGGCCTCAAAAGATGTGCACTCCGCTTGACAAACCGTTAATCCCCATCAGCTGCCTCCACGGAAACGGCACAAGACCGAGGTTTGTTGCTGAGCCGTAGATTTTGGTGTGTGCATCACTGGACTCAGCGAAGGATCCCCACGAGGCTCATCATTGAATCTGAGGAGCTCTAACATCAACCCTGTCAACTGAAATTGCGCAGATGGTTCGAGCTCAACCCGAATGACAAACCCAGCATGGTTTCTTCTGTTAGGGAACAACAGGAAGGGTGAATCCGAAGAGCAGCCAACCTTCAACGATGGAGCACTTGAATGGCTGCAAATCAACTTGTCTTGCTGAGATGATGGAGATGGTTGAGGAAGAGATGGCCTGCACCATGAAACTGGAAGCAACGAGAAAGGGTGAGCTGCAACTGGAAGCAACGACGCAGGAGACGGCCCTCGCGCCGCCACCGTCGTCGCGGGCCGCGTCCGCGCCGCAGCCGCCGCTGAGGACTGGATCCGTGCTGCCGCCGTCGCCACGGGCCGCGTCCGCGCCGCCGCCGTCACGTCGGGCCGCAACCACATCGTCGCCGCCGCCGCGGACCTGATCCGCGCCGCCGCTGCCACCGCGGACTGGATCCGCACCGCCGCCGTCACATCGGGCCGCAACCACGTCGTCGCCGCCGCCGCGGAACTGATCCGCGCCGCCGCTGCCGCCACGGACTGGATCTGCGCGGCCGCCGTCGCCTCGGGTCGTATCCGCGTCGCCATCGCAGTTGCGAGCCGTAACCTCGTCGCCTCCACCGTCGCTGGTCACAATCGCGTCGCCGCCGCCATCTCCAACTTCCATCGCCTCACTAACGAGAAGAAAACGGGAAGAACCCGACCTAACGAGACTAGCCCGACTACGTAACTACTATGGGGGAGGGGGGACGACCCCTCTCCCTCCCGCCGCCGGCGACGAGGTCGCCGGAATCGAGGAGGAAGAGGGGTCGAGGGTGGGGAATTTACTGTAGCAAGAAAGGGTTCGAGAGGTTCGGTCTCGTGTAGATCTGAGCTTATATTAGTGTTCTACACTTTGGTATAACTGATCGACTAGCAACAACCACACTGTACTGTATGCGTCTGAACTCTCTAATTTCTTGGAAGAAAGTTACAAGCAGTAGAAATGGGAGGCAACAGGATATGTACTACCACCATCTCACCAGCACACTGCACTGGGTCGAGCACTTTGGGAGAAACATCTGATGTGGTCTTCACGTGATAGCAGTGATGTCGAATGCTTTAACAAGTTATAGCGGATAGCATTCCATCAGACTCAAGCACAGGAACATAAGTGCAAATCAAGTAGAAAGCTCTTTGTTGAAAAAAAAACTAGTCACAACAAATCGATCATAAGTTAAGGAAGGAACTAAGTTTCAGAGATTGTGTCTGATACAATGAATTCAATATTTCTTGATATGACCAATAATATAGAATAAAATCAAGGACTGACGAAGTTTTGTAAACTCAGTATATGGACTTTTTATTAATTTCTGTCTCTGCTATATGTATCAACTTGATTTGATAAAAAAAAAAGCAATGTTTGGAACTTGGAAGTTCTAATTGCCTCAATGACTATATCCTAGAAAATAGTTTTGTGCTCTCAACATTGAATTGTGAGTCCTTTTATCCATACCTATATTTCGAGGTTTGTTGTAGTTAACTGTTTAATGTCATACACAAATCCCTATATATCCAACATTAACGTCGACTTCCATGTCAAACACATAATTGATCTTTTTTAAGAACTATTAAGCAGTCAACTGCAAAACGTAACTGGTATAAATGAGATCAAAATCAAAATATATGGGCATAGAAGTAAGTGAGAAAAACTCAGACACACAATGGATCAACTGAAAAATTACCACTAGTGGGGAACTGGTCATTTATGTCAGGCGATAACCCTCAACTGTGTCGACGGAGGGCATGGTCACTGGTGAGTGGTCATTGATGAGCAGATATTTGCTCCTCTAACCCTCCCACCCAAAGTAGGAACAATACGCTGGGTTGTGATAACTATTTCAGTTGACAGTCAGTTAACAGGACTCCGTAAAAATGACTATAGTCCTCTTTGATGGGCACTATCCTCTTTGATATCATCCGGTGTGCTTGTGGCCCGTCACAGATGACCTGTGTCGGGCCACATATGTAGCCTGCCACAGGCGATGTGTACGGCATTGAGGACCAATCTTCAACGTGGATTTTTTTGTTCTCTCCGGTGAGCGCATCTGTGATGGCCCGTTCACGGTGCAAAGTTCATATCTAATGAACTCATATGTATGCAAAGTTAAACAAATTATCCAGATTAACTACAAATCTATTCCATTATCACTAGGGAAGTGCTGACATATGTTGATATATGTTAGATCATCATTAAGTCTTTGCAGTTAAACTCATCAGAAAATGAAAACGTTAACGGAGATAATAGAGTCTGGGCCAACCCTGGGCCAACATAAACAGAAAGCCTCGCCTTTTATATTCCTGTAAACTGCAAGTGAGCATGTAGTAGTAATAACAGAGAATCAAAGCAGTGGTTGTATCAAAACTTACGGTTTGCCACCAGAAACGACATCATCTTTTCTCTTATGCTTATGCTTATCAGCCAAAATTTGAATTTTCAGCTTTAAATTTGGAGTTGATTTTAGGGTTTTTTTCATCGAAGTTTATTTTTCAGCCTTTGCTTTTAGATCACTAAGAATACGTATATAAAAGTTTTATTTACAAATTATTTTTCATTTGTAAATATGTTGTTTTGCTTATTCCACGAATAAGCGAAACGATGGGACCGTTTTTCTCCACCATATCGAATCGTAATGATGACCACTCAGGGCTGAGGTACTCCCTCCGTCCCATAATAGAAAAGATTTTGGGTGGATGTGACACATCCTAGTATAATGAATCTGGACACCTGTCACATCCACATAAAATTCCTTATATTATGGAACGGAGGGAGTACGTATGTCCGGATCTATTATACTAGGATGTGTCACATCCACATAAAATCCCTTATATTATGGGACGGAGGGAATACATACTAGTAATAGTTATTCACTCGAGATGAAGTGATATCTATAAATAAAAACACTCGAATTTGCATTGCATGACACTTTTAGAGCTGTTAGTGCACATAAACCTGGTGCTGTCCTTTTGGGAGGCAAAAATCGATGTAGTCTCCTACTAGATCGCTTGTAGGTATGGGAGGCACTGGAAACCATTCAGCCGCCTCGGATTCCTCTGTTGGGTGATTCTATGCTTAACGACCATCGAACTAGCAATCTCCGAGGCAGTGCAGCGAGTCCGATTGCCACTGTTTTTCCCATACGAAGCCGGTGCATCACCCTCGTGCTCAAGCATCGTGCACCAGAGGCCCTCCGCTGCAACACGCGATGCAGCGTTCAAGCGATCAAGCACACGCTGCAATGCCCCAGGAGATGCCCTAGCATTGGCTCGGCGCGGCGTTTTCTCTCATGTGCCCACTGCCCTGGATTGTCGATCAGCTTAGTTGGACTTCTCAGCTTAAGGATTGTTTTAGCCGCCACTGCTGAGCTGAAGGCTTCAACAAAATTTTAATATGCTTAGTACAAGTGTGGTTGTTAGCATCAAAAGAAACCACTGTTTGGGAACGACATAAACTTTTAGATAGTTTTGATACAAAGCTATTGAACCTAACAAACTGCTTTATACGTGGTTCTACTATATCAAGTGAGTAAATTGGAGGCCATCTCAAGAAACGGAATAGAAAATTAAAATTAAACAGTGCAGCAGAAGGCAAATAAATTACTCTAAATTTGACTAACCCCACTTCGTAGCTAGCAAAGGTTTCATTTCATACCAAACCCTCTGGTTTTATAGTAATCTCTATGTTATGTCTAATTGCATTGACAGTTTTTGAAATGAACCAAACGTTCATCGGTTCAGGCCCATTTTCTTTTAACCAGGTCTACAGTCCCACATTTTGTACTACCGACCTACCGTTCACAACACTATACAAGCATATATATATATATATGTGTGTGAGAGAGAGAGAGAGCGCGCGCGCAGCACAACTACACAAGGACGAGAACGAGAGCAGCTCATGCATAGCAGAAGGCAAGGAATAACCTGGCAAGCAGACGCCAACAATTTGGTTCTGAAACTAACAATGCGTGTTAGGTTTGAGAGCCATCAGGATCTCCCTTACACCCTGCCTGTTCCATATACCGTGATAGAAGAACCAAGTGAGTTCCAGGAGAGGCACAAATACAACCAGTGCCTTCCAACTTGCAGAGATCTAGACAACCAAGTTTTTCTCCTTCGGCCAACCAAGTGGCCTTCTGTTATATATGCTCCTCGATCAACAACATCACAAATTCAAGCTTATCAGATCGCATACGGGTTATGTTCCAACTTCACCAATCGCCAAATGGTATAGCAGGTGAGATGATTCGTCACGTCTTAGGACATAATTGTTCTCAGTAAATCTTAAAGTGGTCAATCGACATGATTTGTATGGAAGAGATAAAAATCATAATTCAGGGCCATACAAGGGTGTGAGAAAAAAACATAAATACAAAAGGTATTGGTTCAAAATTCAGGAGCATGAAAGGAATTTTCTCTCAATGTAGGCCTGATATGCCTACCATGTTAAACAAATTCTAGAATAAGATTACAAATCTAGCGGTGTCATTATCAAATGGGAAGGTGCTGACATATGTTGATATCTGTTAGATCATCATTAAGTACTTGCAGTTAATCTGGTTTTGATTCGTGCGATGTTTCCAACATACATATAGAGCCTTACCTTTTATATTCCTCTAAACTAGAAGTCTACAAGCAGTAGTAATAAAATTGGTGTGGGTTCTCAACACAAGAATTCTTACTCAATATAATCATATAGTCATAGTACTGCAGTTAAAACCAAATTAGTGGTAGTATCAACACACTGTAGAATCATGTGATGATTAATTCTCAAAGATGAGTGTTTATTGAAAATACTGTGAATAGTGTTTTCGGATTATGAATGGTTTTGTCAGCTTTGTGAGGCCAGTCATACCTGGCAGGTGCCGTCGGTCAGACCAGTGGTGCTAGAGCGGTTTGACCGGGTAGCCGGACGGTCAGACTGACATACCCCGGTTTGGAGTGATCGGTTTTGGCTTGTTTCTGTGGAATTTCTAGATTGCTTCATGTTTATGATTTCTAGATGCTTTCTATTCGTATGTAATACTATTTTGTGCTGATGTGAGTCAAGTTGGTGCAAACTTGTACTCGGATATACAGTTTCTTGGTTGTTCATATGCGGGTGTTGCTTGAGACCATAGGCATGTGTGCAAAGGGATAGAAATATCTACAACCAGGGCTTTTCTTCGAGACAATTCAATTGCTTAGAGATCTCCAGAACAACAGGCAATTCACTACCTTTTTTTTGGATGAAAAGACAATTCAATTCCTTAGATCTCTAGGAGTTTATCCACCACAATTAATCCACATAATGCGTCTCTGCAATTAGATCGAAGAAGAAATTGTGAATCATCCAGGCAAAATCAATCCCTAGAGATAGACCTTATAACAATAAAGACATTGCTTGTGATATACATTAGTCCCCATTGGGAATATATGTTGTTGGAGACATTGGCTGTCGCGAACCTATCTGTACAGTTCGTCACAATTAGTTTGGTCGCAAATTAAGTCAGATGCACATGTTAATCAGGTGAAGCTTCATTTGCATTATTTCTGATCAGATTGCTTTCAAGATGCTGGATTATACCCCCTTTGTTTCATATTATAAGTTGTTTAACTTTTTTTCTAGTCAAACTTAATAAAGTTTGGTCAAACTTAATAAAGTTTGACTATGTTTATAAAAAAAATTAGTAACATCTAAAATATCAATTAGTTTCACTAAATCTAATAGTGAGTATATTTTGATAATATATTTTTTGTTAAAAATATTACTATATTTTTCTATAAATTTGGTCAAACTTAAAGAAGTATGATTAAGAAAAAAATTGAACCACATAATATAAAACAGAGAGAGTATTAAAGTAGCAGCACAGTTCATACAAATTGGAGAAGGGGACAATTACACCTATGCCCCCACTTTGAACTCTAATTAATGTTTTACTCTCACATTTTAGGCTTTGCATTTTTGCTCTCTCTTTATGAAAACGAACCAATTGTTTGCCCTCACTTTTGACGTCTAGTTTAACGGTGTT